GGCGTCCCCGTCTCGGAGACTACAGACCAAACCAGTCATTACTTGCTTCAAGAGCGTCCTCTTGATCTACACTTTCATCTTCTGGGTGAGAGATGGAGGAGCCCGGGGACGGGAGGGGATCCTGGGCTTGGGTGGGGGGGGGTGTGACCCTGAGCAGAGGGCGCTCAGGGCTGCGGGTGTGGGGAGGGAGGCGCGGGTGGGGTTTGGGCCGCTGTAGCTGCTGGGACCCCGACGCGGGCGAAGAGTTGCTGGGGCTCGAGTCCGGGCATCCTGCCGGCGCCAGGGTCAGGGTCCCGGAGGATGGCAGCCAATAGGCTGTGCTGGGACACAGACGGGCTTCGGGTTCGAATCTGATGCGGGGGACGAGGAGGGGAGTGAACACCCCAGACCTCGCAGAGGGTGTCCCCGGACCGTTGAGAGAGGCGAGGCTTGCCCCGCCCCTCTGAGGGCTCACCCGCATAATAGTCTCTTTCTTTTCACCGCTTCGTAAGAGGGGAGTATTTCGCAGGTAAGTATGGTAATGGCTGCACTCCCGCCCACCTCTCCTCGGCTTGCTTTTGTGTACTATCCCTTTGTACGTGGGCATCTCTGAACTGGGGTGGGGAGAAGGGGGAAGTTTCTGCAACTCAGAGAGACACTTTCTTCCCTCCTCCAGAAGGTTTTCTTCCTATGGCGGGAGTAAAGCAGTTAAATAAGTTGTTGTCCCTCGGACAGATATGCGGTGGACTTCGGGTTATACCAAAAACAAAACAAAACCCAACAAAAAGAAACAGATGAAATTTAAGAATTTTGTTAGGATGCCTTCCCTAGTTGCCCCCTGGTTTTGCCCTGGCTACCTGGGCTACCTAGTGATCCAGGGTGGATTTATCAAGGCCTGTCCTTATGTGCAGATCTCCTTCCTACCCCTTGTCTCCCATATCCCAGCCACAGCGCTGTGGCCACAGACTGCTAAATCAATTCTCACACCTATTGTTTCTTAAACAATAGGTTTGTGGTTTGAAGGTGCTGTAATATACAGCCTATAACTTTCTGTTCTCTGGCTTCCCACATAGATCACTGGTGTTATCCTTCTTGCCGTTGGTATTTGGGGCAAGGTGAGCCTGGAGAATTATTTTTCCCTTTTGAATGAGAAGGCCACCAATGTCC